ATGACAGCGGAGATGTGTTTGATTGTATTCCTCAGTCCTTCAGGCAGACTTTTTGAGTCAATGTGAGATTTGAGAAGGTCTGTTCACAGCTGTGCAATAAAAAGACACTTACTATGAGCATTACATTGGATGTGCCAAAGATGATATCCAACTCAAACCAGTAAAAACCTCCAGAACAACTTTCTCTCCACTAGCTTCAACCCATATGCATTTTCAATATGCTCCAAGGATCTTACTTCGACAGAAGACAAGCTGTGACCGTAAACTTCTTTTTATGCCAACAAAGCAGCTTAATATAAATTACACCTGGTGTGTTTAGCTAAAGTGACCCCCCTTCCCCCAATTCAAAGTACACCTTTAGACGGGGGGATATGGATTCTCCATAAGAATGGAGTGTTTCAGGCACTAAGAAATAGCTTTATGGCTCCGGCACCCTCGTCCCTTTGGAGACGATGTCACTGTTTACTTTCAGTAAAGAAGGCTGAGCTCCTCCGGTCGCTCGTTACTCAGCAAGTTTTCTCTCTCTTTAGTCATTCGTGTTTCTGTTCCTGAAGTTTGCGCAACAGTTCAACGTCCTTACGCTGCTGATACCTAGACCTAGACACACTCCTCTGGTTGTGGCCGGACCTACGTCTTTTACAAAGCCAACAGCTAACTGAGATCTCCCACGTATAACCATTAGCATCAAAAGAGAACGAACGCAGGATCTTTTGGTCCCATTGCAAGCTCATTTTCAGAGCCACCACTCCTCATTCATAGTAATCTTGCACTCAGCCAAACAAAAATATCCTGTTTTTACCGCAAGATTAACCTAACTCACAGTTGAAAAAACCTCAGACGTTCAGCTGAAGTTCACTTCACACAAATAACCTCAGCCAATCCACTCTGGCGTTTGAACGCTTGGCGGTCGTTTCTAGAAGTTAGGGTGTGCAAGACCAGTGCAAGGAAGTTTGAACCACACTCTGTAGAAAAACTTGAGGAGGTCAGCGTTATTACACTTCTCCCTCAAAGACCGACACGCACCAGAGTTTCTTCGACAGCTGGCCTCCTCCTCACCGAGTCCGAGCCTGTTGCAGCGTGAACGGGGTTTTTTTTTCCCCCCCATTCCCCTGCACACCGGTGCCTGCACAGCAATAGCCCGCAGTCGTCTGTCTGCATTAACAGCCGATGAAGCAGCAGGTCTGTCTGGAAGTTCTGCATCGCAACTGAAGTCTCTTCCACCTCGTGGGGATACAAACGGTTCCCGTATTGAGCCATTAACGTATTTCAAGCCTTCACGCTGGAGGATTAAAAGCCATTATTCCCACAGAATTTGCAACAGAGACCTCTGCGCACTTTGTGGTGCAGTTAAGGCAGGAATCCAACAGGATTCTGGCTGCTGCCAGCCGTAGTGATTCACCGAGAAGCGGCAGCACAACAGGCACAAGCTGAAGGTCCTAATCCACCCCGTTTCACCTGCGAAATGATCGTAGCTGAGCAGATGCTAGAGGAGGTTGACTGTTGACATCGGTGTGGTGAAGGGGAAGGAGAAGAACCTGGAATAGCCCTACTGTAGAGATGCAACATGATGTAAACCAGCAGGCCGTCAAGAACATTTAAAAAAACTTGTCAATAAAACAAGCGTCAATGATATTGTAAGAACCAGCTGATGCTTTGAAGCACGCCACAGATCCAGAACTAAAAAGACTAACCCTAAGTGAATTGGATGTATTATTATTCAAGAAGCAAGAAGAGGATTTTTAACCCCAAGTTCCTGAGAAAACGAAGACATGAAAAACGGCTTGCAAACTCTGCCCTCCAGAAAAGGAACAGCAATCCAAGTACAGGGATCCGGTACGAGTAACGGAGATGGGAAAAATTAAAAGATAATGAAATGCAGACCCAAAAGCTGTGTTTATTGAGAGATAGGGAGAACCTGCAGAAGACTAAAAAAAACCACTTACTAATGGCTGTGAAGGATGGAGAAGTAGCCAGGAAGAACGGAGTATATTCGACCAAGCAGAGGTTGTTACGCTATTACAAGCTACGGAGAGCTTGCAGCTGGATGTTCCAACCCAGAGCCTGCACAGCACCTGCCCGGGGTAGGTCCCCCCACGCAGCTCAGCCCGGCAGCCTGTCAGGGCCGAGAAGCGGTGGTCCCACTGCCCCGCTCCTGCGCTCCCAGACCTTCTGCTGAACCTGCCCCGCGCGCTGCTCCCCCAGTTCTTTTTGTTGGATGTTTTCTGCTGTGCTGGCAATCAAACCAGCTCTCGTGGCAGAGTACCAGAGCCAAGGCGCGGTACGGAGCCGGAGCACATGCGCAGCAGCCGGTACGGCCAAGGGCAGCCGCCCTTTCGGGGAGCGGGCGGCTGCTCGGCTGGCTCAGCTGGTACTGCACTACTTCTTCCAGGCATCGGTCTCAAGACGAAGACCTGCTAAGAGGCCGTTGCACAACACTCGCAGTTCAAATAAATCGTTTAATTTTCATTGTCTTACAGGAGCCTATTTACCTGATAAGCTTTCAAAAAAGTGCAAAACACATCTTTTATTAATTGGTCAATAGCTATCTTCCTGAAAGGAGGGGGGAAGCTTCTCTGCTTTGAGAGAGGTTGTCAGTTCTCTGCTATTAGCAGAGCTCGAAGTACTGCTGTAGGCACTCCACCTAGTGGTTTACAGACCATTTATAATTAATAATGCTAATGTTCGCTTTGGCGAGAGCCAATGGAGCAGCCAGAATGCAGCCTAGAGACCTATAATGCATTTGTGAATGCTCTCATCCTTAATGCGGGGGTCCAAGCCTAGACACTTAATCTCGAAACGTGCCGCAGGACTGCAAAAGCCACGGAAATTCAGATGAGCACCATGTGCTGGGACCACAAGACTGGCAGCCGGGTTTCAAGATGGCTCTTGATGTTGCTTTTTCTTCCTGCAATGGACGGAAAACAAACGTGCAAAGGCAGAAGCCTCCCACACGAACTTCTTGTGATAACGGCTGGGACCAGAGCTGCCAAAAGACACGATGCGTCACAGTGAGTGGCAAACTAATTGTTTTAGGCAGCTGATTGCTTTTCCAGGAAAGTGGAAAAAAGGGCTTCCAATCCGGGGACACACAAATTTATCCTGCTGCGGAGTTAACAGTGGGCTCACTACTGACAAGTCATCCGATATAACTTGTACAACTGCTGGAGGACTAATGAAGATTTCGTTTTGGTTTGGTTTTTAGGAAAGGAGTGCAGCTGGCTACAAGCACGTTGGGTACGCTTTGTTAAGGTAGCTTTTTGGTCACTCAAGGTTGGCTGCACATGAGTTTTTCATTCAAAGCCATGCTTGGCAAGTCACTTAGCTCACTTGAAAGGGAAAACAGAAAGAGCCACCTCTGCTGTCTGTAGACCCATGAAACTGCAATATCGATAATGGCGCACAAATCTTTTACCTGCTGCCATTTACCAACAGGTTAGAAGGACAATCTACTTTTCTTTCTCCCCTTGCAAAGAGCCTGAGGAGAAGCACAGCCTAGATGCAAGGCTGGGCACTCATACCTGGGGCAAATAGAAGGTGAAGAGAATCATCTAGAATGACCTTGGAGACGAAGCAGGTTCTCTCCCCTCCCATGAACACCAGAGGTGCTAGAGAAGTGATCTGCAAGCACAAGATATAGTAATGAAATCCAAGAAAAGGGAGGCTTTGGAACACAGTGCGGAGGAAACACTTTTCCACTGTGAAACTGTCCCTTCGAAATCCCCCGCCCTGCCTTCCTGCTTCATCCAGCAAGAACGGAGGGCTGCTCGCTCCGTTTTCCGTAAGACCCAGAACCAAATTCCTTAGAAACAACGGCAGAGATGAAGAGGCTGGGCATAAAATAAACTTCATTGATGTATGATTCACTCCACTTTGTGGAGAGGTAAACAAGAAAGAAAAAAAAAAA